TGATGTTTTAAGTGTGTCATGTCCTTTTAAAATTTTTAATGTCTTTTTAAAACTTTTTAAAAAGAAATTGACCTTTCATTGTGCATTTTTTATAAGGAATCAGGGAGATGTTAAACTTTGAACTGAAAGAATTGTATGACAGAAAATTACTATTTTTTAAAAAACCTGTTAACAAGATTATATGAGTTAGCATGACCTGAACAATACCTAAAGTGAATTTTATATAACTGGACAAAACTGAGTTCACTTTGCCGCAGATATGATATTTAAGGTGTAATGGTAAAAAGGAAAGATTTCGACAATTTTAGAGTTCAAATGACACTATTGGTGTTCTTCGTGGCTAAATTCACAGAGATTCTTCATCATTCTACTCACCATCACCACTTTTCAGGACATTCAGAAGACTTTGAAGAAGAATGATCCATAGTTGTCACAAAATTGAATTTTTTAAAATTTCTAACCATTTGAGTATCTCTTGGCAAAGCAAGAGAAATGGAATAATGTTAATTAAAAAAACAAAATGCAGAATTTATACTCAGCCTGCCCACGTGGATTGAATAGATAGCAACTTAGGGTCTGCTTAATTTCAGTTTGTGGGAGTAACCTAGCTCAGATGAATTATGCTTTTTGGAAGAATGATAGAGTGATTTGGAAAGCATTAAGTCACAGTTTCAGAAGCACCTCATGTCTCATTTTGATGAGCGTGAATCATGCTTTACAACTCTGTGGTTGCTCTTGGAGATCAAACCTAAGTATGTAAGGGAATTCTGTCAGACACATTTTTCAAAAGAAACAGATTGAACTAAAGGTTAAAAAAGGCATTTGTAGAATATGTACCATTCCTGGAATTTTGGAGTGGGTTTATGATTTTTGGAAGCATGCTGACGTGTAAATCTGTGAAGCTACATTCTGAATTGTGCGTGTGCCCCCTTGACTCCGTGAAAGTACTTTCTCTTTTGGGAAATAAATTGAGATGATGACGATGATCCCTAGGTGAAAACATTCCAAACTATATAAGAATATTTGACCTCTCCCCCAAAATTGTAGTAAGTTGTGTTTCTCGTATTCCTGGGTGATAATTGATCACCTGATTATCATTGTGTAGATTAACAGCATGTTGCTCACACACACTGCTGTCGAGTTGGAGCTGACTCATAGATGACCCGTCAGAGGGTTTTCAGAGGTTGTAGAAGCCACAGGAGGAGATTGCTCATTCTTCTACTGCAGAAAAGCTGGTTGATTAGGACTTCCAGCAGGGTGCTATGTTTGGGTTATTAAAGAAACTCTGTGTGGAACATGCCACCAGAGCTCTCTCACATGATCTAGGAGTCCCATTTCTAATCATTGCCCAAAAGAAAATAAAAAGTAGTACACTGGTTTCGCATTAGCACGATTAAAAGTTCTGGGATTCCCATTCTTCTCAGAGTCAGCCACAGTTTGCTATGATCCACGCAGTCAAATGCCTTTGCATAATCAATGAAACACAGATAGACATTCTTCTGGCATTCTCTGCTTTCAGCTAAGATCCATCTAACATTGGCGACAATATCCCTAGTACCACAACCCCTTCTAAATCCAGAACATTTAATCGTGCTAATGCGAAACCTATACTTGGACCAAGAGGCAGTCGTCAGAACAGAGCAGGGCAACATTGAATGGTTCAAAATTGGGAAGGTTATGCGCCAAGGATGTGTCCTATCTCCATACCTTTTCAACCTGTATGTGGAGCAGATTATCCAAGAGGCTGGGCTCTACGAGGAGATGCGTGGCGTTAGGATTGTAGGAAGATCTATCAACAATCTGCGTTCCGCAGATGACACAACCTTGCTCGCTGAAATTGAGGAGGACCTCATGCACTTACTGCAGAGGGTCAAGGACTGCAGCCTTCAGAATGGACTGAGGCTCAATGTCAAGAAGACAAAGATTCTCACCACTGGACCAATTGGTAGCATCAGGATGGATGGCGAAGAGATTGAGACTGTTCACAGCTTCCGTTTGCTTGGCTTCACAGTCAACACTCTTGGCACCAGCAGCCAGGAAATAAACGTATTGCAATGGGAAAGTCTGCTGTTAGGGACCTCTCTAAAGTACTCAAGAGCAACGGTGTCTCTTTGGAGACGAAGGTGCGTCTGATACAGGCCATGGTCTTCGCAATCACCTGTTATGCATCAGAGAGTTGGACAATGACCAAGGAGGATAGAAGGAGAATTGATGCCTTTGAGCTGTGGTGCTGGAGAAGAGTATTGAGAATACCATGGACTGCCAAGAAAACAAACAGATTCACCCTGGAGAGGGTTAAACCAGGCTACTCCTTGGAGGCAAAGATTCTGGGGCTTCGTCTGACATACTTTGGACATGTTGCAAGGAGAGACAGGTCTTTGGAGAGGGACATCATGCTGGGTAGAGTGAGGGACAGCGCAGGAGGGGAAGACCCTCTATGAGGTGGATTGATTCAGTGACTGGGGTAATCGGGATGTGTGTGTCAGAGGCAATGCAATTGGCACAGGATAGAGCAGGGTTTAGGGCTATTGTACATAGGGTTGCTGTGAGTCACAAACGACTCGACGGCACATAACAACAACAACAACAACAACAACATCAACAACAACAGTACACTGGTTGTCCCCCCCTCCACTACTGTTCACAGTGGTAAAGAATTGGATACAACCTGCTTGCCCACCAGCAGTTATAAAGGTAAATGTAGCACACGCGCTCGCGCGCACACACACACATGCGCACACTCGCCAACATTCCACTGCCGTAAAGAGAGAAGAAATCTTCATACATGCTACAACATAGATAAATCTAGAAACCAGGCACAGTGAATAAGTTAGTCACAAAGGACAATGTACCGTCTCACTTTTAGGAAATAGGCAAGTTTAGAGAAACCAAAGCTTAGTTAGTGGTTAGTTTGTCCTTATCTGGGGGGCTGTACTAAATAAAACCTGTCCTTGAAGAGTGATACTTCTTGTATTTGACACACCAATGGCACAGATTTTAGCATCACAGCACCCACAAGTTAGCTCATACAGCAAATTTACAGACAAGAACTTCTAATAAGAACAGATAAACCAGTGAGAATATAGTTACTTAAGCTGTAAAAGCATTGAGCAATATGCAGATCATCCCCCCAGTACAACCAACTGACAGATAAACCTTATAGTTTAGGAGGCTCGGAATCCCAGGTGCCGGACCTAGGGGAAAGCTTTCTGTCTGTGTTAGTTCTGGAAGAAGGTTCTTGTCTCTGAGCTTTTGCTTCTGGACCATATTCCTATGGTTTCGTGTCTGATCTTTGCTTGCTCTAAGCGATGTGCTTGCTTGGCTGGAGTTGAGGAAGGAAGGAGGTTCTGCCTGGATGACGATGGTGGATGAGAAGCTGGACTCACTAAGAAGGAATGTGGCTTCAGGATTGGAGGAAGACTCATCAATCAATACCTTCACTTTGAAGATGACACAACTTTGCTTGCTGAAAGTGAGGAGGACTTGAGGCACTTACTGCAGAATATTAAAGAACCTTCAGTATGAATTACATCTCAGCATCACAAAACCAAAAAATTTTTACCACTAATAAACATCATGATAGGTGGACAAAAGATCGAAAACTGTCAACAGCTTCGTCAGATTAAACAGTTAAGACACTTGATACCAACAGTCAGGCGATCAGGAGACATGAGACATATTACACTGGGGAAGTCTGAAGTCAGGGACCTCTCTATATTACTGAGAGGCAAAGATGTCAGTTCAAGGATGAAAGTGTGCCTGATGCAGGCTATGAGCTTTTCAATCACTTGCTATGCATCTGAAAACTGGACAATGAATAAGGGTGATAAAAGGTTGATGTATTTGAGTTGTAGTGTTGGGGAAGAGCACTGAATATCCAATGGACTGTCAAAAGAACAAACATACGTCTTCAGCTAAAGTTCTACTTGGTGGCAAAAATGATAAAATCTCATGTCATTTACTTTGGTTGTATTTCTATGAGAGGCTGTTCCTGAGAGAAAGACATCATGCCTGAAATCGTGGAGGGAAGAGTGAAAGAAAGATCCTCAGCCAGAAGGGTTGACACATTCACTCCAGCAGTGTGCTCGAGTGTGTCAGATATTGTGAGAATGGCACAGAATTGGACAGAGTTCAGATCTGCAGTTAATAGTGTCACTATGAATTGTGTTTGACTTGGCAGCATCTAACAACAACAAAGATGTAGGAGAGGAGAAAAACTGGAGTCACTATTTAGCAGGCACTGAATTTCTGTTAATGCAAGTGGAATAAGTTGGAAAAGGACAGTGATGATACTTCCATGATTAGTGAATCAAAACACTGTCAATAAAATGACATGTAAAAATGTTTGCTATGGATTTTTTTACATCAATAAAAACAAAGTGTTAAGGCACAGGGAAGTGGGTAAAAAGTGCTGAAAGAGGTAGAATTTTTTAAGGTAATTCAAGAATTACCTCTACTGATAGTTAAAATAATAACAGCTAAAATACACAGTTACAAATGAACATTACTGTATAATTCTGAAATACTGGATACTTTTTAGAGTTAATACTTTTCTAACAAGTCCAGATATATTTTCCTTATTTGGGTTATGGAAATGGTTGAAATGTGGTGATGATTAGGGAATGTAATTTTAGTTTTAAAAAATGAATTCAGGAACTAAGGAGTATAGCTGTTACTTCTTGGAGCAAAAATATTCCTCTCTGCTGGTCAGCCATAAACAGCTGATGGTCTTTTCCTACTAAGGCGTCTGTTGTTGATCCTCACATTCCTTTTTTTTAGAGTAGTCTTTGCAAATGCTTGACTGGAGTTGGAGGTGGGGGTGGGAGAATTGGAGAAGGGAGATTCTTTGCAAAGATTTAAGTTAGCAGTCACTGCATTAGATGCTGTTTTCCACTGATTAAGAATTTTCTTTGAGAAATTATTTGCTAGCATTTCAGTTCTTAATGTTAACTTTAAAAAAATTAAGCATACCATCAAGTTTTCTTTTCATTTTATGTTAGGTTTGTAACGAAATTACTAGAAGATCTCATCTTCTTTGTTGCTGATGTGCATAATAATGGACAAGAAGTTCTAGATGTGTTTATCACTAAGCCAAACCGGGAACGTCAGAAATTAATGCGGGAACAGAACATATTGGCACAGGTGAATTTTTTCGTTGTATTTTGTATTTATTGTTTGCTGTGTAACAATTTACCTCTAAACTGGGTGGCTGGAGAAAGACAAGCACAAATTTTTATGAACTCACAAGTTTTTCTGGGTCAGGATTGCAGTACTAACTTAGGTGGATAGTTCCTACTCAGTGTCTTTCACAGATGTGAAAATAACATGCACCTTGATGCTGCAGCCACCGCCAGGCTCCACTTAGGGAAGACTGTGCTTCTAAGGTTAACTCACATGGGTCTTTCCACAGGACTTCCTCGAGGCATCATGACTGGCTTTTCTAGAAACAAAGCATTCAAGAGAGAGCCCCGAGATGGAAGCCAGTGATCATTTTATACTTTACACTTAAACTGAGCTCCTGAGTATAGTTCTGAGTATAGAGTTGCACTGCTTCCCAGAGGCTATGCCGCCCCAGCAGTTTGAAACCACCTTTTGCACTTTAGGAGAAAGATAGACAATCTTACACTGTGTGATTTATAGCCTTGGAAAGACGCTGGAGGGTCGACTGCGAGTCAGTTCTGCCTCCACCGCAGTGAGTTCTGAGTTGAAACTTAAAGTGACAGCTCATCAACTCTACCTGTGTTTTATTAATTGGAAGCAGTTAATAGATCTAACTCACCCTCAAGGAGAGAGAATGTCACAGGTGTGAGGATAAGGCAGCGGGAGCGTATGGGAGCTTTTCTTAGGCGCTGTCTACCACCAAAAACTCATAACCCAATTGTTACTGAGTTTCCTCTGACTCATAGTGACACCATGTGTGCAAAGTAACTGTGCTCCATATGGTTTTCAATGGCTGATATTTATTTAAGCAGGTAGCCAGGACTTTCTTCTGTGTCACCTTTAACTTCCAGTCTTGTGATTAGCCACTGATCTCATTAGTCATACCCACCACCCAGGACTCAGCTGCCTGCCTGAGGTCTTTTCAAAATTCTGCATGGTTAGACCATCTCCACAAGTTTGCTAGGAAACTATCTAAGCAGGATTTTCAGGAGAAGTTGAAAATTACCAGCTCCATCTGCATCTTCATCAGCTTACAAATGGTCTCTACAATATCCTAGGAATTGTTTTCCCTTTTAAAAATTAGAGCTGATGGTGTACTATGATTTCCTGAAATTGTTCTTAACGCCCTAGTAAATGAAATTGCTTCTTAATAATATGGGCCTGTCAAACTTTATACATTTTTAAAATTCAGCCAACTGCTATATAAAATGGTGGGTTTCTGCATTAATTAAGTACGGAAGATGCTAGAAAATGGGGAAAATTGTTATTAGGTCTTGTGGAATTAAGAAAGAAAGAAAAGCAGTAACCATATTGCTAACTAATATTTTGTCATGACATCAACCTCTAAAAACTCATATTTTTCTTAAATATAATAAAGGTTGCTAATATAATAGCTGTTCTTTTGTACAAAGTACTTTATTTCAAGGATATTTATGGCCTTGAACGGCTTACTAAAATTACTTCAATAAAAACATGCCGTTCATTCTATTTCAATATTGTAGATAAAAAGTTCTAAGTTAAAAAAAACAGTTCAAAGTTTAGTGGATATGGAATTTTGAAGGAATTTTACTTTGTATTACAGTGCATTATTTCCAAAGGATAATTCCTGTCACTTTCTGCCCCTTGTGTTAATCCTCCTGCATTTACCTGTGTGCTCTTTAATAGTTTATTCGTTTCAGTCATTCCTCATCAATGATCCCATCTGCTGTCCTGCTGCCTAGAGCACTAGATGTTGCAGCGCTTTTTCAAAAGTTCCTCAAACCGAACTCATTGCCGTTGAGTTAGAACCACCTTGTAGTAGATTTTCAGAGGCTATAAATTGCACAGGATGAGACATCCCATCTTTTTCTTGAGGAAAAGCTGGTGGTTTCAAACTACCTGCCTTTGGATTGGTAGCTCCCTACAGACTAGACTAGCAGAGTTCCTTTTACGTTATTTATGAACCACTAAACTTCCTATCAGAAAAATCTGGTCATTGGATGCCATCACACATAGCTATTTTTATTACAGTTGAATGCTGGTGCACTGACTTGGCCACACCTCTGTGTACCAAATCTTTTATACAGAATTTTGAAATCATTACTTGGAAGCAGTTTTCTGATGTCTGCTTTAGATGACAAGTAAATGTTTTGATATAATTTTGCTTTTAGATAATTGTGGAAAGTAATAAAATCTGTAAAGCTTATAAAACATATTAACTATTTTAGTTCATCCTAATATGCTCATGTAACTTGGTACAACCTAACATCTTTCTAGCTCTCATTTTAATGAAATATAATTTCTAAACAAAATATACTTAATACATGCTTCTTTCATCCTATGTAGGGAAACCTTCTGGTAGAATTTTTCTGCCCTCAAATATATTGTCTTTTACTCAAATAATTCAGAAACTCTTCAATAAAAATTTTATTTGTTTAAAAAATTAAAGTAGGTTGTGAAATGTGTACCTCTACTTATCAGAACAGGTTTCTTCCCTCCCTGACTGTGACCCCCAACCCCTTGTTCCTTATAGGTGTTTGGGATTCTGAGAGCACCCTTTAAAGAGAAAGCAGGCGAAGGCTCGATGCTGAGGCTTGAAGATCTGGGGGACCAGCGATATGCTCCCTACAAGTACATGCTGCGACTCTGCTACCGCGTTCTAAGACATTCTCAGCAGGACTACCGGAAAAATCAGGTCCTTATTTATAACTCTTTTTAGCATCTAAGGCATTGAAGGATTTCTTTTGCTTGCTACTCTAAAGCTTATACATTGAATGGGAAGTTTCACTTTGGAAGGAAATATGCTGTATTGACAACACACATAAATGTTCTGTCACGCTTTTTGAGCTGATCTTATTTTCCCCTGTAGAAGAGGAGATTTTTAAACATTATTGTGCATATAGTCCTCTCTCCTGATGGATAGAATGCATACATACATATGTTAGGGAAGGAGGAAATGATTCTTGGCTTGAAGAACTTGTGAGGTGTTGCATCATTAAAATTAAATATGAACTGAGGCGTTAGTCTTGTGAGATGTATCTGAAGACTAAGAGAGATTTGAAAAAGAGACAGGGGAGATAAAACAGCATTATGGGGATTCAAGAGATGGAGATGCCCTTTTTGGCTGGGAAAATATAAGGATACTTACAGATGGAAGCATTTGAGTAGGATGGAGAGTTGTTTTCATGAAGTTGTAAAGAATGAAGTTTTTTGGACCTTTGAGGAGACAATAATGGGTGCGAGGAAGGACACTTTAGAAACTTTTCTCCTGAGGTTTCTTTAACTGCAGCAGACAGGGAACCTACGTGTAGGTGTGGATTAGCTCAAAGTTGTCAAATGAAAATGAAATTTCTTTTAAGTCTCATTTTTATCTTTAAATCACATGTTTCCTATATTATATTCAGTTGTGAAAATGTATATTTAATAGATATTTGTTTAAAACTAGTTATGACTGGGTATATGAGTATCATTTGTTTCTATTAACCCAAACTAGTTATGACTGGGTATATGAGTATCATTTGTTTCTATTAACCCACTTGCAAGAGGAGTGCATCATTATATATTTCAATGATAATTTTAATTTGTGAGAAAAAGTACCTTGAGGAAGCCCCAGTTAACTGTGCCGCACTTATGATGTCAGTGCTAGAGAGTGAACATTTTTTTGACAAAAGATAGTGGATCAGCAATCAACACCGTTGGTACCAGCAGTCAGGAAATCAGGCGATGAATTGCATTGGGCAAGTCCACTGTCAGCCATCTCTCCATCTTTCCAAGGAGCTGAAGGGCAGTGATGTCAGTTTAGTGTGAAGATTATAGAGCATCAGACTCAGGTGTGATTCAGCCAGTGTGCTCCTTGGAGACAAAGATGGCAAAGCTTCATTTTATACTTTGGATATGTAGCTAAGTGGGGGAAGAAGGAGGATCCAGCAAAAGAGAGGAAGATGGCACCTCCCCCAAGAGATGACTTGACACAGTGACTTTAGCAATGAGTTCCAGTGTGTCAGAGATGATGAGGATGGCATGGGATAAGACACGGCTCAGGTAGGCTGTTTATAGGGTTGTTAGGAGTTGTATTTGTCTAACAGCATGAACATGCTTTGTATTAGTTCACTTCTAAACATTTCATGAATTAACTAATATAGTCCTCAGAGTAATTACATGAAATTGGTACTATTGTTTTATTTCTCTGAAGATGTAGAATCAAGTGGTTCCATGGTTAGTGCTCAGTTGCCATCCCAAGATTAGGGGTTTGAATCCACTCCATAACTGCAAGAGAAAGATCTGGTAATCTGTTCCCATGAAGATTACTGCCTAGAAGACTCACTCACTGTGGAGAGTTCTTACCTGTCTCATGGAGTCACTATTAGTTGAAGTTTACTTGACAGCATCTAATAACAATATCAACAAAAATGTCAGCTCAAAATGTCAGCTCAGGCACAGTGAGGTTTAATATCTTGCCCAACACCACACTTTTAAGAATGATCTCATTGTGGTTGAATTTCAATTGGCTCCTATGGGTTTTTGGAAGTTGTAAGTCACACAGGAGGAAATAGGTGATTTTTCGCCCAAAGAATCAGTCCTGGATTTGAACTGCCTCAGAGGGACCAGTTTTGAGTTAACAGTTCAATTCTTTATGAACTTCGCATCCAGAGTTCTTTAAGAATGATGCTGGTAAGCAAATCAAAGCTCCTAATTATCACACTGTTGCCTCTTGGTAGTTTGAAAGTTTTCTAACAAGGAGAAAAAGATTTGTTTTTTTAAAAATGTGTTAAAATATATTGGCTTTCAAATGATGTGTAAAGATCAAGAAAAAGTAAAAACAATATGCAAAAGAGATTCATCAACACATAAGTAATATAACAGGAGTAAGGAGACATGACAGTAAATCCTTACATTCTGGTAGAGTGCTCATGATAATCTATCTTCTTTGAAAAACTGAATGTTTTCATTGGAATTCTTTCTTCCTACTTATAGTGTGTTTCTTTAGATGGCAAGATAAGACAAGCAGAGTTGTTTTTATTTTATTGACGGGAAAAAATAATTTCGATAAGTAAAGTCTCTTCAGACCTCCAAGAGTCAGTGCCTGAGATGTTTTCAGTGAGGTCTTTGTCCTTCGATGGTTGCATGTTGTTGATGGTTGTGAACACTTGCTCAGTGTACTCTGTTTGTTCTTGTTTCTCTTGTTGGATCTGGAAAATACACATTCTAGAAGGGGAACCCTTCACACTTACGAGGAGAGCTGTTGTGCCCCCCCAGCCCTCCTCGCCTTTGGGTCCCCTAGTGTTGCTCCCTGACTTTGGAAGGATCTTTGATAGCGCTGCCCTGGGCTTCAGGGCCAGGCCTCCTTGCTCGGCGTGTTCTGCTGCTCTCTTGTACATCGCCCAGGCAGCACATCTTAAATGGCCTCCATTCTCAGTCTCTTAATGTCTCATGCACATGGCTCTTTTTCTCTCCACTTGGTCTGATCCCAGGACTTGTGTGCTTAGTGTGTTGAGAGACAGCAGTTGACCCACTGACTGGTTTAAACAGCAACGAAAAGACTCCCCACTTCTCCACCTCAAACTTCATACTTCTGATTTCTCCTCTTGTTTGTTCTCAGTTTGCCTAGAAGACACCACTTCCCCAAGGGGAATGTTTGTGTATTTTGGGGGAATGCGTTTTCTAGATTTTTTTGAAGGCTGTGCCCGTAGGTTTTGTGCATTTTGAAGGATCCACTTTCTAGATTTCTTTGGAGGCTGCTCCTGTAGATAATCCATTCCATTCCATTCTCTCCTTTTGTCTCCCCGAGATCCTCAAGAACAGAGAGAGGAATAAATGATTTCCTGGTGTTCTGTGTGGGTGGTCTGGTGACTTAGTGCTTTGGAGTTGTGCTGCTAACCAACACACGCAGTTCACATCCACCAGCTGCTTGACAAGAGAAAGAGGGGCGGTCTCTTCCCTGTGATTCATTGCCCCTGCAGACCCACTGTATGGTCAGTGGCGGGTCATTTCTAACTCCATGGCACAGAAGAACAACAGCCGCAGCAGTGTTTTGTGAGGCTTAGATTGTCTTTCTCCTTATTTACTTGTGACTACCCTAACTGACTGGAACCAGGAGCGGCATCCACTTCCGAAATGGCTTGCCTCCGGAAACTCTATGTACGAACAGTGCTCCGGCTGTTCGTTCATAGGGTCGCTATGAGTCGTCTACGACTCTGCGGCATCAAACAACCACCACCCTAACTGAACTCAGTGATAGTTGAAAATATTTTTCTAATATCTGTTAAATTATGAATGCTTTGTGGTAAACACAAAACAGCTCTCTGATGCTTTTAGTATGATTTTAAAATGAAGTCAACAAAATCTATTTTTTTTTTTGCTTTACTTTCCTTTATCTTCACCTATATTTTATTGCATTCTAATGGGAAGTTCACATTAAACCAAGCTTTTGATATTGAGTCTCTTTTTATTATTATTTATAGAATTTGGCAACACTTCAGATTTCATTTCTCAGCACCTTAGATGTTTGTCTTTTACCAGAGTGTGATTGTAATAGTCTTCAAAATGCATAAATCAATACCTATTTTTACAGTGATACACTGACTGAAGACATTGACTTTACTTAACTGGCTACTTAATATACAGAAGCACCCATTAGAAAGGTCACAAACTATTGCTTAGAATATAATTAGATTGGTGTAACCAATATATTTTTCAAGGAATAAGTATGTTCCAGGAAATCTGACTTAAGGCAAGCCACTTTATCATCAATCAAGTCTCTAGTCTCTGATTAAAGATACATTCCCCAGGAGAACCCTTATAATATCAGAGTGAAGACTTCACTGTGTAAGATGTTGAGCTTCCTCTATCAAATATGAGAAATCAGCAATGATGATTTGGGATTACTGTAAAGTTTTGTTTGCTGATCCTCTGCTTTACCAAGTGTGATATCTTCTCCAGTGACTGGTTCTTCCTAATAGCATGTTCAAAGTGTGGGAGACTAAATCTTGTCATCCATGCTTCTGAGGAGTATGCTGGCTGCACTTCTTTCAACATAGATTTGTTTCTTCTTCCCATAGTCTATGGTATAGTAACTATTCTTTACCAAGACCATAATTAAAATGTATCAACTTTTCTTCAGTCTTCTTGATTCATTATTTGTTGAGTTCTGGCGGCCTTGTGCTGACAGTTAAAGGCAGGCAGTTCAAATTATCAGCAGCTTCTTGGGAAAATTATGGCCATCTTTTCTCTTGGGATTTACAGCCTCTGAAAAGCTGCTGCAGGGTCAGCTATGATTTTTTTTCCATCTTGGCAGTACATAACATATATTTATCATAGTGGCGCTGATTGGCTTAGTTGGGAGGATTTTTGTTTTGTTTGAGAAATGCAAAAGTTGGGAACCAGGAAGAAGGATCAGTAGTCAGAAAACATGGACTTGGTTGCAGAAATGAGGCTAGGGATAGGATGAGAGAATTCTGCACAATGATTTATTTATTTCAAATACTTTTTATAAGAAACATAAGTGCGGGTTATACACGTGGATTTCACCTGATGGTATGCACAGGAATCTGATACATTACATCTGTGGAAGAAATCGTTGGAGAAGTTCAGTATCAGCAGTGAAAAGTAGGCCAGGTGCTGATTGCAGAACAGACCATCAACTACTTATTTGCAAGTTCAAATGAAAGATAAAGAAGGTCAAATCAAATCCAATCCACAGGAATCAATGATGTGACCTTGGTTGCTGAAACTGATGAGGACCTGAAGCATGATTGAATCTCAACATCAAGAAAACAAAGATTCTCACCACTGGGCCAATTGATGATAGATGGAGAAGAGATTGAGGTTGTTAACAATTAGCTTGCTTGGCCCCATAATCAACACTCTGGCACCCATAGTCAGGAAATCAAAAGATGAATTTCACAGGGAAAATCTGCTGTCAGGGACCTCTCCAGAGTGCTGAGAAGCAACAGTGTCAGTCTACAGACTAAGGTGTGCCTGTTCCAGGTCATGATCTTCACAGTTACTTGATATGCATCAGAGAGCTGGACAATTACTAAGGATGACAGAAGAATTGATGCCTTTGAATGGTGATTCTGGAGAAGAGTCTTGAACATACCCTGGACCTCCAAGAAAACAAATACGTTTGTCTTGGAGAGGGTGAAACCAAATTTCTCTTGCAGGCTAGGATTTTGAAGCTCCATCTCACATACTTTGGGCACGTGGCCAAGAGGGATGGGTTCTTGAAGGGCATCATGATTGGAGGGGTGAATGGACAGCACAGAATAGAAAGACTCCAGATTTATTAATACAGTAACTGGGGTACTGGCTCAGGATAGAGCAGGCTTCAGAGCTGTTGTACATAGGGTCACTGTGAGTCATAGGCAACTTGATGACACATAACAACAACATGTTGAAGTTAATCCAAATTAAGTTTTTGATGTCATTCAAGTCCCTCCAATCCTGATGCTATATCCTTGTTCAGCGTCTTGGATTACTTGTTTAGCATATGGATTGGATAAGTATGATGAACAGACACAACCCTGACACAACTCTTTCCTGATTTTAGCCACTCAGTGTCCCCTCGTGTTTGAAGGACTGCCTGTTGGTTTATGTACAGGGTTTTCTTGAGCACATGAAATATTCTGGAATTTCCCTTCTTTGTAATGTTATCCATAATTTGTTACTATCCACACAGCCAAAGGCCTTTGCATAGTTAATAAAACAAACAAAAATACTGCTATGCCATGAAACATTCCATTTTATTTAACTATTTCTTCAAGTGTAAGCACCTACCTTACAGATTATATTATTTCTAGATATAAGTTTTAAAACTAGCCATTGCTGTGGGTTTTGACTCATTGGCGCTCCCAATAACATCAGTATAGTACTATGTAGTAGGCTTTTTAGTGGATAATTATTTAGAAATCAGTTGCCAGGCTTTTGTGCTTGTGTGCTTATAAACCTCCAACCTGCCTTTTGATTGCAGGACTAACCCTTTGTCCCACCTAGAGACTTCATAATGTCATTTAAGTACATGCACATATTTTTTATGCTTTAAATCAGATGTGTGTTTTATCTCCTTATTTAAAATGATGTAGTTTTTTAAAGAAATATTTATTTACTCTTTTTTTGATAGTCATTTTTAGTGAATTTTCTCTTAAGAATAAGTTAATGAATATTGCCAACCCTAGCAGAACCTGTTGTTTCTAAGCTGTTTGGCAGTTTATTCTGACAGCCTTTCTTGTTTTGCAGGAATATATTGCTAAGAATTTCTGTGTCATGCAATCCCAGATTGGCTATTATATCTTGGCAGAAGATACCATCACAGCTTTGTTGCACAACAACAGAAAACTACTAGAGAAACACATCACAGCAAAAGAAATAGAAACATTTGTCAGTTTACTCAGGAGAAATCGGGAGCCAAGGTTTGATGTGGTTCTTGTGGTATTCTTTCCTACTGGGGATGGTGGCTTTTACATTTCTTTTTAGAACCCTTAAAAAGTTATAAGTCTTTTACATCACCCTATTTCATGGACAGGTGATGTTCCGTTTACCACTGTAATCATTGTGTATAAAAAAGAGTTATTACCTCATCCAAGGTCAGAGATCTGTCTAGGTTTTTGTTGAAGGCTAATTAATCTTTACTCTGACATATATGTGTATATTACTTATGATTTTTAAAAATATGCTTTTATATATTGTCTTATTTAAATGCTTCTACATTCCATGAAGTACACTAGACATATATTATTATCCTCAGATTAGAAATAAGAAAATAGAAACCTACAGGCAGTTGGCCTAACATCAGCCTATTAAGGAATAAAATATGAGGCTGGAATTAGGCTTATTGATTCCACATCAAGTTCTCTTTAAATTGTCCCTTACCTAGGAAAAGAAGTGCATACACACAAGTCAAGCGTGCTAGCAAGATTTTCTTAAGTAATTAATAGAACAAATAAGTGCTAGAAGGTAGACATAGGTCTTGTAAATAAACTAGGCAGTGGTTTGTCTCATTAAGTATGTGCCTAGGTTACTGAGTATAATATTAGCTTTGATCTGCATTTGATTTGATATTCAGCTCTGAAATAGTCTCACTTTAGGACACATGAATTAATTTTAAGGCATAAGTAGATATAGAATCATAATCCTAGATAGAAATAAAGCAACTAAATATTCCTTTTGAACAGTTGATTTTTTTTAAAGCCATGGAGTAGATAAGTAACCCATTATAAAAAAAGAAATAAAATTTGAAATATAAATATGTAATATTTATAAATATGCATTTTTATTATATATTAAGTTGTGATATGGTCTATAGAATGCTCTGTTTTGTGCTTAATTAATTTGTTTTCTCTTGCCAGATTTTTGGATTATTTATCAGATCTCTGTGTATCTAATACCACTGCGATACCTGTAACTCAGGAACTCATCTGTAAATTCATGTTGAGTCCAGGCAATGCAGATATTCTCATCCAAACTAAGTAAGCCCAGAAATGGGGGCATCTTTATCTGATTATTGTTGGTAGACAGTGTAGTTATTAATATAAACTTGCACTTGTGGGTTTCTTAATGGATTTAGTGTGTGTTATTGATTTCAAGGGTGGTCTCAATGCAAGCAGACAACCCCCTGGAGAGCTCCATTCTTCCAGACGATATTGACGATGAAGAAGTTTGGCTGTACTGGATCGACAGCAACAAGGAACCTCACGGCAAAGCTATTAGACACCTCGCTCAAGAGGCAAAAGAAGGCACCAAAGTGGATTTGGAAGTTCTCACCTATTACAGGTTGAATATTGTGTTGTTGTTATTGCTAGGTACTATTGACGTGACTCTGATTCCCAGAGACTATGTGTACAGCAGAGCGAAACCCTGCCCATTCACTGCCCAGTCGTGTGTTCTGTGCCCTTTTCACAATCTCTGTTGTGTTTAAGCCCGTTGTTGTAATCACTATGTTGATCCATCCATTGAGGATCTTCCTTTTCTTCACCAACACTCTCCTTTCCCAAGCACGGTGTTCATTATGGACTAATTCCTTCTAATAATGTCCAAAATAGGTGAGACAAAGCCTTACCAGCCTTGCTTCTATGCAGTATTCTGGCTGCACTTCCTCCGCGATTTCTTGGTTCTTTTGGCTGTCCATGGTATATTCAGTATTCTTTTCCCAAAACCACAGATCAGAGACATAAATTTTTCATTGATCTTCCTTACTCATTTTCTAACTTTCTCAGGCTTATGAAGTAATTAAAAATGCCATAGCTTGGGCTGAGTGAACGTTGTCTTCTAAGATATATCTATGGTCTTTAGCATGCTGTCCAGTACAAAATATCTTTTGATTTCTTAACGGCTAGTTCCATGAATATTGATTGTGAAACCAAGTAAAATGAAATTCTTGGTAACTTTAATCTTAAATAGCATAGTTGTTGTTGTTGTTGTGTACTGTCCAGTCAGAAATGACTGCTCCAGTGAGTTTTTAGAGGCAATAAATTGCACAGGAGGAGACTGCCCATCCTCCTCCTGAAGAGCAGCTGGTGGATTCGAACCACATGCCTTTGGTGTTACAATGCGACTTCTTACCATGCAGAATCATGATTCTAAGTCTGAAGATTTATCAAGAAGAAATTAAAAACAGTCATGTCAGAACTAGAATACCTGAAATATTGAGTTCAATATTATATAATCAGGAGTTAGTATCTGTATTTTTCACATAAAACATTTATATTTTTATGGTTTTAAAATACTTTAGGACTTTTGTACAACCAAATAATTTTTTTAAACTGGTAGAGTGAGTGAATGCCAAGTCTTGTTGGTACCTAGATGATTGTGAAAGCAAGAGAGAACTGGGGATAGTGAAACCTGGCTGCTGAGGTGGCCTCAGAGGAAATTAAGTAGTTTAGGGCATGGGATTGATAAATATGCATGATCCTGGGTTTAGGAGAAACCATTGTCTGAAATTATATAGGTTCAACATAAGCTTATAACCGATGGGAGTTATTTATCAAAGGGAGTACATATTGATGGGAGTTATTCTGAAGGTAGGCAGAGGTACACTTTTTAGTGCTCAATACGCTGAGAACAGAAACCTAGTTTCTTCTGGTTTAAGGAGTCGAAACTCAGGGCAATAGCCTTTGGGATATTTTAGACTCATGTATCGGAAATCAGAAAGGAAGGGAATGATTCATCCCTGATGGTGTTTAGAGTTCTAGGAACAAAACAACACACTAAATCTCAGACTGATGAGTACAAGTGCACTGATGCCTTTGACTTGGTTACATTTGATTCAGGACTTATTTTTGGATGTGTTCCATGAAGTTGAAACTGACCACAGCTGGCCATCTGCCGAGTTTTCAGAAGTTATAAATTGTATGGAAGGAGATTGCCCTTCTTTCTCCTGCAGGGCAGATGGTGAATGTCAACTTCTGCCTTTGAGTTGGTAGCACAATTCCTTTAGCCACCAGACTGGAATGGGACTAAATGTAGATAGTAGAGCATCTAACAGTAAGGGCTTGTGCTGCCAATCCAAAATCAAGAAGTTCAAATCAACCAGATGTTTTATGGGAGAAAAATGGGCAGCCTCCTCCTGTGCAGTTTACAGTGTCCGAAAATCTGCTGGAGGGTCAGCTATGAATTGGTTTGGACTTGAGGGCAATGAGTGAGTGAGTGATAGCTGGTTGGGGCTGGGATAGCCTCTTGTGAGATTTGTGTGTTTGTTCTGAGGAGCCTGAGGGACCAATAACACTTCCCCCAGGACTTCCCTTTACTGGAACAAGTGAGACAAATTGTAATTGAACCAGCATAGGGATAATTTCATGTGTGTGTGATCATTTGATTACTTAATTTACTACTGGAGGAGTTCCACTCTTAACGTTGCATACCCTGAAAATATTGGTGGTATCAGAGGAGACACTAATGAGTAATACGATGTTTCAGCACTTACCCAAGATAAGGCAAATGATGCAATATGTGTAATATTTTAAAGGTACCAGCTAAACCTCTTTGCAAGAATGTGCTTGGATCGCCAGTATCTGGCCATTAATCAGATCTCTACACAGCTGTCTGTGGATTTGATCCTGCGATGCGTGTCAGACGAAAGCTTGCCATTTGACCTCCGAGCATCTTTTTGTCGCCTCATGCTCCACATGCACGTTGACCGGGATCCCCAGGAGTCTGTGGTGCCTGTTCGCTATGCCAGGCTCTGGACAGAAATCCCCACAAAGATCACCATTCATGAGTACGTTCCGAGAAATTCTTGAGGCATTTGAATGTAGCATATAAACTTAAAGTCAAACGTACATTTTCACTGTAAAAATAAGTATAGGAGAAGGCATTTCTAGGTTCCAACCCATGGGAGGTTCTTCAAAAAAACCAACCAACCAAAAATATTCATCTTTAATGTAAAAAGATAACTTCTGATGTGAATGTAGATTTTTTATGAAAAGCAATAAGCAGAAATAGTATAATTAACAACAAAAGTGATTAGTTACATGCATAAGTATGTAACATTATGCCAGACTCTGATGTATTGACTTTACTTTTATAATCTCATTACCCAGTAGCCCGTTTTACAGATGAGAATCAAACCAAGGAACGTTAGCTAATTTATCCAATTTTAATGAAGCTAGGACATTAGTAGGTAGCTTTCCATATTTATAAATTATAATCAATTGAACATATTTTTTCTTCTTTTTACTCTTTTAGATATGATTCTATAACAGATTCTTCAAGAAATGATATGAAGAGGAAATTTGCCCTGACAATGGAATTTGTTGAAGAGTACTTGAAAGAAGTTGTAAACCAGCCTTTTCCTTTTGGGGATAAAGAGAAAAACAAACTGACCTTTGAGGTATTTTCTAAGTATTAATTCATTTGTGAAGTTATTAAATTTTCCATGTAAAAATCATGTACATGGAACAATAATGGTTTCATGACTCTAGTGTTTAGAATACTTTGGTGAATGAATAGTAAAAGCTTTGGGAAATGAATTTAGGAAGGTATAATTTGTGCTAGTGATTAAAATGTAGACTTACGTGGTTCTTTGGTTATACTTGATATTCATTACTTTTCTCTTAAGTTTTTTAAAAGACATTCTTTCTGTTTAAGTTTTATTGGATTTAATGAACAAGGCATAGTTAAGGAGTTGTGCTGCAAATCCAAAGGCAGGCAGTCTGAATCTACCAGCTGCTTTATAGTAGAACCTCCTTCTATGTGATTTTCAGGCTCAGAAAACCCTCTGGAGGGTTAGCTATGTGTGAGTCAGCTCTGACTCATTAGCAGTAAATTGTTGTTTGTTTAAAGACTATTTGTGGATAGTTTTTAAAAGATTCTGTGTAACTGAGGATTTTTAAAAGCCTCCATAATCTGAACTGAAATATATGCTAGCTGTAATATTATTTTGAGAATATAGGACATCTCTGGAGAGAAAACACTATTATTTATAACTTGTATTAGTTATCTATTGCTGTGGGACAAATGACCCTAACACTCAGCATCTAAAGCAGCAAATGCGCATTCTCTCCTGGATTCTATAGTTGTGGATCCTGGACTGCTCAGCTGGAGCATCTGAGTATCGCATGAGGTTATAATCAAGCAGTTAGTTGGGCCTGTTTTCTTGTGGGGATAGGTGGCTGGATTTTCAGGTTACTCACATCACTGTTGTTTGCCTCACCTATTTGCTATTGACCATACACCTTCTCTTGGCTGTGTGGGGCTCTCAGTAGAACAAGTCATTTGAGAGGCAGAGAGCTCAAGGTGGAAGTTTCATTCTTTTGTAACTTAACTTTGGTTATGCCATACTATCACTTTTCCTGTATTCTGATGGCCACACAACTCAGCCCTGGTCTCAGTACAGGAGGAGACTGCATGCACAGTCATCATGGAAGCTGCCTTTCATTCTGGTTCATTGTAAAGTTCACATAGGAAGCAGAAGAGCATAGATTTTTTTTACAAATTTCATAGATATGGGAACTCTGGTGGCCTGGTGACAAGAAGCTGTACTATAAATCTGAAGGCACACAGTTCAAGGCCACCAGCTGCTCTGTAGGAGAAAGATGGTCAGTCTCCTCCGATGCTAGTATCTGCCTCTGAAAACCTGCTGAAGAGTCATCTATGAGTCGATTCTGACTCCATGGTACATAATAACAACAATCATTTATTAAAGTAACTCCTTAATGTATCATTTATGAAATGATATTAATTTCTAAAACCGTGAGTCATTTCCATTGGATTGGAATGGACTCATTGCTGGTCCTCCAGTGAGTTTTCAGAAATTGTCAATCACACTGGAAGAGATAGCTCATCGTTCTTTGTGGAGACATTGGTAGGTTTGGACGTCTAGGGAGGTTGTTGCCCCACTCCCTATCACTATACATCAGAGCTCCCTAAATTTAATTGAGGTAAATCATTCTAGCATAAGCTTCTTGAACCAACTTGATGCACTCAAATTTTGTTTTCTTAGTAGGGTTGATTAACTGCTCTTGTTTCAATTTAATTCTCAACTTGAACGAATTAAAGTTCAATTGGCTGCTTTGGCAAGTATTTGGAATCTTAGATGTTAAAAGGATGAAAAAGTTTAGCATTACCTGAACTAATTAAATTAAAAAAAAAGTTAATTTGTTTCAGTGTCTAATTTCATTCCATCCCCCTCTTTTAATTATTTTTTTTTTCAAATTAAGGTGGTGCACCTGGCTCGGAATCTTATATACTTTGGATTCTATAGTTTCAGTGAGTTATTGAGGCTGACAAGAACCCTTCTGGCTATCCTAGACATTGTACAGGCTCCAATGTCATCGTATTTTGAAAGATTAAGCAAATTTCAAGATGGAGGTAAGAATTTTTTAGTAAAACATAACACTATTTTTGTTAATACTTATCAATAAGAGAAAAGATGAGAAATGGTATATTTGCATGCTAATAATGTATGTATACATAAAAAATAACCCTATGATAGGACTGAGTGATAATATGATTTATGAGCTTGCCTGTCATTTTGGTTTTTTGTGCTAAAGCTTCGAAAAATAAATTTGTAAAAACACATTCCATCCTTGGTAACTCAATTTATACCCAGTCCACAGATGAAAATACTATGTGTCAAAAAAGAAAATTATTTTAATATTTGTAACTATCCTAGTCTATGTAATGGGCTGACTGTGCTTCATAACAGGACTTAGAAAAATGCAAGGAAAGAGTAGGAAAGGATGAAACCAGAGAAGCTGGGAGCTCACAGCCAGTGTGGGAGGCAGCATGATAAAGGGAACAAGAACAAATGCCTGCACTCAACCCTTCCTTATTTATTTATTACCTTAGGGAAGGTACTTCTATTTTCCATGATTTTATTTTCTCGTCTTAGATATAAAGTTTCTAATAATAATATCATCTCCTCACAGCTGACTTGTGATAATTAAGTGAATGCATGAAGTATATCTTTTTGATAAAGTGACTGTGTAACTTGACTCCACTATTAAAATCTATGAAAGCAGCAGTCAAGAAATAAAAAAGACATGGAGCATTGGGTAAATCTGCTCTCAGGGACCTCATTAAAGTGCAAAAGAGCAAAGATATCAGTTTAAAGACTAAAGTGTGTTTGACTGGAACTATGGTATTTGCATTTGCTTCATAAGGGTGTCAAATGGATAAAGAAGACTAAAGAAGAACTGATGCCTTTTCATTGTGGTATTGGTGAAGAGTATTGAACATCTCGTGCACTGCTGAAAGAACAAACAAATATGTCTTGTAGGAAATGCCACTAAGGTGCTTCTTAGAGGCAAAACCAGTAAAACTTCATCACATACATGAGACATGTTAGCAGGAGGGACCAGTCCTTGCGAAAATTATCATGAGATGGAGAGTCAGAGAAAGAGAGGAAGACTCTTTGTTGCATGGATCGATGCAGTGACTGCAACAATATCCACCTTGAATATGGTGGAGATAGTGAAAATGGTACAAGATATGACAAGGTTTCAGTCTTTTGTTCATATGTTTATAATGAATTCGTTAACTCCATGGAACTTAACAACAACATACAATATTAAAACCCTTCATGGCTTAGTAATTTTGGGTTGGTGATGGAAATATCTGCAGTTCAAATCCTTTAAGCCATCCTGTAAAGATTGACAGCCTTACAAACCTAACAGAGTCGGAACTGGCTCAATAGCTGTGCATTGAGTATACATTGCATACAAAGTATTTCCAATAGTGCTTGTCTCATCTCAGTAAGTATTATTTATGGTGATGGTGGTCTTAGACGAACAGAAACAGACTCTGACGTAGTGAATTATTTTCACATTGTTTATTTGCTGATTGAGTGTACTCATATGTTGTTGTTGTTGTTATGTGCCATCAAGTTGCTTGTGACTCATAGCGACCGTATGTACAACAGCCCTAAACTGTGCTCTGTCCTGTGCCAATCGCACCGTCTCCAGCACACCCATCCCAATTACCCCAATCACTGAATCAATCCACCTCATAGTGGGTCTTCCCCTCCTGTGCTGTCCCTCCACCCTACCAAGCATAATGACCCTCTCCAAGGACCTGTCCCTCCTTACAACATGTCCAGAGTATGTCAGACGGAGCCTTAGAATCCTTGCCTCCAAGGAGCAGCACGGTTTGACCCTTTCCAGGATGAATCTGTTTGTTTTCCTAGCAGTATGTACTCGTATGTATCTGCTGGAAGTCAGGAAGGTAGAATTGGGCAGAGAAGCTGGGTAGTTGGGCAGCGCAGTTATAGTTGATTTCTCATGTGGTCCTGTAGGAAGCTCAGGAACTGGATCTTTTCAGAGTTTTCACAAATGAAAGAAAAAGATTTAGCTTTGCATCTGTGGAGTCACTAGCAATTTGCTTCATCACACAAAGAGTGTGTAATCTTGGACAAGGCAATTTTCGGTGGCCAAAGCTTTTGTCCAGTGAGGGGTACAGCTGTGAGGACCCCGCCTCAGCCATGAAGCTCAGGGACTGAGAGAACAGATGTGTCATCTCTGAAGAGGATATATGAGGATTCGGAAGCATGTTGGTACCTATTTCTGTGAAGGAAGATCAAATAAAAAAGGTAAAATTAGTAATAAAATTTCAGATACAAGTATAGAATATCTAACTATGAACCATAAATGAAAGTTGTCCAATTTTTTTAAATTGATGGATGCTGCCTAGATTTAAATTCCTCATACATCTTCTCCCCTAGATTTACAGATCCATAAGAAGAAAATTAAACCACATAAATCCTTGATCTTCCTCAAAACTAGAAAAAGGGGAGTTGTACAAACTTCAGTTATTGTAAATGGAGAAATAGTCTTCAATTTTCAATGGAATTGTTTTGCAATACAATTATTTGAGGAGGGAGCCTTTAGTAGCCTAGTGGCAAGAAGCTGTGCTGCAATTCTAAAGAAATGTGTTTCGAATCCACCAACTTCTTTGCAGAAGGATGGACATTCTTCTCCCATGTGATTTGTTGTTGTTATGTACTTTTGAGTAGCTTGCAACTCATAGTGACCCTGTGTACAGTAGCTCTGAACCCTACTCTATCCTGAGCCAAAATCTCACTGTCTCTGTTAACCTATTACCCCAGTTATTGTATCAGTCCATCTCCACTGGGGTCTTTCTCTCCTGTGCTGTCCCTCCACCTTTCCATGCATGATGGCCTTCTTTAAGGACTGGTCTTTCTTGGCATATGCCCAAAGTGTGAGAGATGGAGCTTTAAAATCCTTTCCTCCAAGGATAAGTCTGGCGTCTGTTCTCTTGGCAGTTCAAGACTCTTCTCCTGCACCACAACTCAAAGGCATCTATTTTTGTTCTGTTATCCTTATTTGTTGTCCATAGCAAACAATTGTGAAGACCTTGGCCTGGATCAGACACACCCTAGTCTCTAGACTGACATTTTTGCTTCTTAGTACTTTGGAGAGGTCCCTGAAAGCAGATTTTCCCCATGCAATTCATCTTTTGATTTACTGGCTACTGATACCAAGAGTGTTGATTGTGGATCCAAGAAAATGGAAGTTGTTCATAATGTCAGTCTCTTCGCCATCTATTATGATGCTGGCAATTGGCCCAGTGGTGAGAATCTCTGTTTTCTTGATGTTGAGCTTCAATCCATATTGAAGGCTGCAGTGCTTGACCTTCTGCAGCAAATGCTTGAGGTCCTCCTCAATTTCAGCAAGCAGGGTTGTGTCATCTGCATAACACGGGTTGTTGATGAATCTTCCTCCAATTCTGATTCCACATTCCACCATATAAAGTTCAGCCTCCTGAATGATTTGTTCCACAAATAGATTTAAAAGGTACGGACATAGGATGCAGATGCACCCTTGGCATACACCTTTTCTGATTTTGAACTATGCAGTGCTTCCTTGCTTTGTTCTGAATAGTGTTTCCTGGTCTAATTATAGATTTCATATAAGCACAATTAAGTGTTTTTGATTCCCATTCTTTTCATGATTAGCTGCAATTTGTTGTGATCCCCACAGTCAAATGCCTTTGCATAATTAATAAAACCCAGATAGATATTCATCTAGTACTCTTTGCTTTTAGCTAAAATCCCTCTGACATTGGCTATAATGTCCCTTCCATGTAATTTACTCCCTTTAAATCCCTCTTGGGGGTCAGCTATGAATAGATTCTTACTTGATGGCACACAGCAGCAGCGACAACAACACTATTTGAGGCAGTAGGTTTTTCTGGAAAAAGTGTATGGTAAATACAGGAGGAGATTTAGGAGAATGACTGTTAGAAAGAAAAGAGCAAAAATAAAAAAAAGAAACAAAGATCCATCTCGAATATGGAAACCCACTAGATAAGTTTAGGTAATTAAAAGTGTTGACTAAAGAGAGCACCTATTCTTCTGTCATGAAGAAGGTTGAAAGAAAGGGAAAAACATTGGTGAGGAAGAGAAAAAGAATTAAGATGGGAAGTTGGAAATACCACAAGAGAAAAGTAAACCTGGAATTTGAAGCACATACAACTTGTCCATTATTGTTCACCTAAATAGCCAAATTTAAATAAACTACACTTCAGAGCTCTGACAGCAGAGGGTGTTCATTAGCTAGGGAAATAATGTAAATCATCTTGTCAACACTGTCCATGAAATGTGTAGAAGTAATTAATCTTTTCTATGAAATTATTATAAGGCAAAACCAAGAAAAGTTAATCAAAACATTTCAGCTGATTAAAATTATTCTTTGAAAAATTTCCCTGAAGAAAAATAAATTATAGAAAGTTACTCTAAATGAAATTAAGTATCTTCAAACAAATACTGGGTCATTAAAGAAACTAGAGTCATAAAATGGTAAAAAGAAAAAAAAGGAGAAAAGTAGGCCAAAAACCAGGGAAAAAATAAAATGAAAATTGATTAAACTCTGGGAGAAAAAAAAACAGAATAAAATGTTAGAATTTACTCCTCCCAATTCCCCAAAATATAGATTAATTTGTTAGATAACAAAATAATTTATCTGAATGAAAATATAATAAAGACCAATGAGTAAATGTAGGATAACAACAAAGAGTAAAAATAATATAAAAAACAACAACAATGAAAAAGGCTTAGAGAAAAAGTGGTTGAAGTGGAAGACTGGCAAAGAAGAATCATCATATGAATAATTGGAGTACTTGAAAAAAGAATACAAACTATGGATTAAACAACAACTAAAACTACAATTTTAAGAAAATATTCTGAAAACAAATGATGACCTTAATTTAAACATTGAAACAACCCAGGGTAAACTTCAAAATGTTGCATCCTTTAATTGTTGTATTTAGTATATGCTCAGAGAGAGTGGGGGGCGGGGGTAGAAGGAAAAGGAAAGGTATGAGAAAGCAAATGGAGAAAAATTTGAAGTTTG